AATTAATTTTTTGTCACAACAATGACCATTTCTTCAAAAGAAATTTTTTTTCTCTGTATATTATTTAATATTTAATTGTAAAAAGATTTGTCAATATTATTTAAATAATATTTTTTTCAATTTAATGTTATGACCAGACTAAAAAAAAATTTTACAGAAGAAATAAGTTATTCAAAATTTTCTATTCAACAAAAAAAAATATTTTAACTTAATTTTTAAGGGTGACCGTCTGTTTTTTCATGCGAAAATTTCTCGCTACAAAAATTCTCAGCAAAAATTTCTTGTAAAATATTTTCTTAAAGACTTTAATTCTCATTGTCAAAATTTATTCGGTATTATTTTCTTATACAAAAATTTATTTCAATATTTATAGCTTATGTGTTGGTCTATTTTTAGATAAACACACAAAAACCATGATAAAAGGGCACAATACGATAACAAGTTTATGTGTTGGTCTAATGTCAAATTTTCATAAATGATAATTAATTTTCGTCAAATTAATGTATATATTGTGATTAATTTTGTTTTGAGAAATTATTGTTGTATCAGAAATTTTATGAAATTAAAGTTAGCTGTCACTTGACAAATTTTCAATTTTATTCAACAATCAATTAACTCTCAAAAATTATTTAAAAAAAAATTGATGAAAATTAATTTAGCATATATTTTATAATTTTAAAAATTTTATAGCAAATAAATTATGGTAAAAAAAATTAGAAAAAAAAATTGACATGTAGAAATTAAAAAAAAATAAAAATGTAATTTTTAAAATAATTTTTCGGAACAAATTTGAACAAATTTTTTTGATAAATAAAATTAAAAAATTGTTAAGTGACTGCTAACTTTAATGTCATAAAAAATTTCAATTTTTTTAATTTCTAGGTCAATTTTTTTTCTTATTTTTTTTTTGCCATAATTTATTTGTTAACAAAATATCTGCTAAATTAATTTTCATGAAATTTTTGCTGAGAAATTTTGCCATGGGTAATTTTTGGGGATTAATAAAGGCGGGAGCCATTTTTAAGTACATCAATAATAATTAAAATTAATGAATTTTAACTTTTGATATTTTACAGAAGAAACGTCAAAAATTTTTAATAAATTGAAGACCAAAAGAAATAATTAAAAAATGAATCAAAGTAATTTAAATTAAATAAATATACTTACTGTATTCACCGGGGCAAGATTTGCAGCATTTTCCAGGTAATAAAACCGGCTCCTCACAATTCAATTTCGGGCATTCGTTTTTAATATTACGACATTGTACTCTGGCAACAATGCGTCGTTTTTTTTGTATCTGCAAAGAAAAATGTCTTACATTATTATTGAAATGAATGTGTATAATTGTTTTAGCGGAAACACGGATATTTTTTCGTGTGATCTAGTACATTATATCTTGCATCACGCGGAGGCTCGTCGTCGTCATGTGTGATTTAAAACTAAATACGTTCGACCTCACGTACGTCATCGATATTTATAAGTTGACAGAAAGACACAAGACCGCGGGCGGACCGTACTATAAGTAATGTAATGTAAGATAAATGTTTATATAGATGTATGTATATATAAAGGTATATATATACAGATAGCCTGGCACCTAATCGTCTATTCTTACAGCGTAGAATCTACCAGCGAGTTAAATAATAAAAAATGTAAGGAAAAAATAATGAGGATAGTCATCAGCTAAAAAATTATAATAAATTCAACAAAATACATTACTCAAATATTCCGAGAAGAAAAAAAAAATTAATAATTCAGCGGGTAATAATTTACTGGTAAAAAAATTATTTAAAAAACATTATCTCGAAGAAGAATAATTATGATTAATTAATTATTTATCAATTAGCAAGAAAAATAAATAAACAAATTAAGTAATCTTTTCTTACTGGTATGCACTCGCATTTTATGCAATACATCACTCCAAAAGGCGGGCCCAGATCTGCGTACCATGTTGAGCCCAATTCGCGTAGCTGCTTTCCGAAAGTGCATTCTGGAATCAGATAAATAAGAGATAAGGATTAATTAATGAAGACTAATTATAAAAGTATATCAGAAAAAATTCAGGAGTTTTGACAAAAAAAAAAACAAAAGGTAAATATCCATTGAAAATTTTATTACGTAAAAAGAATTTTTAACAAAAGATATTTTAATTTTTTTACATTTTTTAATAAATATTTGTATATCAGGAATGTGGACAAGATAGGAACATAATAATAATTATATTATTTTTGCGACGTTTCGGTCATTTATTAGACCTTCCTCAGGCATCTGAAACAATTGATATAATTATACAGAAAGAAAAATTTCTTAACTGGAGAACAAAATTCTTGACTCCAGAAAATTTTCAGGTGCCTGAAGGAAGACTGAAGTTGTGTTGGTCGAAGTAAAAATTTTTCTTAAAATTCTATTCTTGGTAGAAGTCATTTTTTCTTAATTTAAATTATCACAAATACTTGATACAATAAATTTTTATATCTGATCAAGATTTTTAGATACTTTAAAGAAGCAGTGTCACCTACTTCAGCTGAGAAAAAAATTTTCTCACCTTGAGAAAATTTTTCTCTTTAATATTTGATACCCATTTTATATTATTTTAGCGTGCAATTATACATATTTAATGAAAAAAAATGATTCAATATTATTTGATCTTCCCATTTGACTTGTTAATCAAAAAAAATATCAATGAAAATTTACTTCTATCTTTAATTTTTTGGAGCAAGAGAGAAATTTTCTCAAGATAAAAAAATTTACTTCTATCAAGAACTAAATTTTTTGGAGCAAGAGGCTGAATTTTCTCAAAACAAGATTTTCTTGACTTAAATAAATTTTCTTGGATCCATGGATAAGGATCTGCAGATACTTATTTTTTAAAGCAAGAGAATTAATTTTGTTGGAATAAGTGAAATTTCTCGTCAAAAAAAAAATTTTTTTTTTGCTCAAGAAAGTAATTACGAAGAAAAATATTTTCTTGGCTGTGAACTTTTTTTTCTGTGTACAATATTTACCATAATACGAATTATAACAATCACTATCTTACATTTCACAGTTGCCTGATATACAACTATTTATTGATAATTATTCATGATAATATTAACAACAGTTTTAAATATTCGCGGTAAATTTATTTTACACCAATTCGCAGAATAAATCAGTTTTAATACTTTTTTTTTGTGAATTATTATTAAATTATCAGAAATTACATTGCGATTTTCAATAGAGTTCTTCTCACAAGCGCTATAAATTCGATAAAAAAAGAATTTAATCGTTTAATGGTGTTATTTCAAAGTTATTGTGTTTACAAAGTTTCATATACAATTTACATTACAGGTTTTTTGGTTGAAATAACATTTTTTAGTTTATTTCTCAATAAACAAGCTTAAAATTAAAATCTTGAACAAAATTATTGATGAAATTTAAACAGGAAAAAAAAATTAAGAAAATAATTTTAAAGAACTTAATTTTCTTGATTTGAGTAGAAAAATTCTTCTTGGCTTAATTAAATTTCACTTGATTAAAGAATTTTTCAAAATTATTTCCTTGTTTAAAGAATTTCTTTCTTCATTCAAGTTAATTTTTTTCCTGTGTACTGCCTGAAGAATATAAACTTTTAAATCATAAACAAATCTTTAATGAAGAATATTTAAAAATATTCAATTCTTCTTTTTATTAAATTTTCTTTGTTCAAGACTATTCTTCTTTAATCAAAAGTCTCCAGGGAAGAAAGTTTCAATAAATAATTAATCAATCAAATTTTTTTTCAAATCATTTAAATAATAAATTTTTCAAAAAAAGTATTATAAAAAAAAATCGCCCACCATAAAACTAATAAAGAACTCCATTAATACTGAAATAAAATGCGCGTTTCTACGTCTCAATGTGACACTATGCCGGGAATGAGAAACTTGCGCCGCATATGGAATGACGAACGAGGCCAGTTCGATACAAATAATGGCGTGAGTCTATCATATATATCTAATATATATACATCATATATATATGTATATATGAACACTGCAATCTATCTTTCTCTTCTTGGCACCGAGTTACGGAAAATGACAAGCCAGCCACTTACATTAGAAGATACGTGATTCCATGCTCGACTAATTAATCGCCGGTTATTATTTTTCCGCAACAAACTCTCACATATTCACACGTATATTCATTTGAATAAATCTATTAACATTTAACAAGTCAAATAAATAAATAAATAAATTTATATAGACATTAAACTTATGCTTATACTTACTTACATATTATATGTATATGTATATGTTTTGAATCGTCACGCACCATCGCGGTCACGCCCACTATTACATCATGCTATTTTGTTAAGTTAACAATATTTATTATTTAAAAGCAATCCAGTTTTAATAATCGAAGAAGAGTGGGTTGATGAAATTATCTTGATATCAAGAGAAGATATAGGGTAGAATCCCAAGTAAAAATGATATGATATCATTATGAGGCTCATAATGAATATCATAATGAATCTCATATTTTGGCACTGACATGAGATTCATATAAGAGTCATATCAATACTTTAGAAACCCGTAATAAGTAAAATACCTGTGGGAACGAATTTTTTCAAGTAGATCAGTAAAATTTTCATTTTTTCTGCTAATTAGAGGAAATGTAGAATAATTGAGAAAAACAGTATTTTTATCATGCACTATACTGTTGAACTACTTAACTTTTCTCCTCGTCTTTTTTAACTTAGAAAAATATTTAGAAAAACACCGACCATCTTGGTTTAAAAAAAATTTTTGACTGAAAAGATTTTTTCGTCTCAAGATAATTATTTTCTTATTTTAAAAACAATTTAAATCCTCCTAAAAATTTCTTTAATTTAATTATTTTGCAATATTTCCTGTATACAGTTATGACTCAATAATTTTATATCACGATTTAAAAAGACTAAAGTAGCGTGTCTGGGGGGGGTCTGGCTCCATCGGTAAAACAGATTTGTGAGTTCATGTCCAGGCTAATTACCGCCTGTCGATATGGGTGAGATCTGTTTTACCGACAGTGGTGTTGCTGTGGATATGGGTGACGTGTTTTACCGACATTTTGAGGTTATGGGCGAGGTTTTTATCGACTTGGTTGTAGGTGGCGCTGGTGGTGAATTCTGCCGCCATTTTTGAATCTACCCGCCATTTTTTTAAATCTATCCGCCATTTTGAATCCGCCATCTGGTGGTCGCTATCTGCCATCTTAAGTCTGCTATCTGAAATCCGCCATTTTGAGTCTGAAATCCGCCATCTGGTGGGTGCTATCTGAGTTTGAAATCTGATTTCCGCCATTTTCCCGCCATTTTGAATTGTGAATTCGACATTTTGTTAAAAAATGCACCTGTGATCTCAGCATCAATAATAGTTGCTTAGATCACAGGTGCATTTCATTGTTTATATTCTGAAAAGATTAATATATTCAAACTGTATGTATGAGGAGTGCATGCGAGAAGATACGTCATCTGTCGAGGTTTCTGTCTACTTCTAAACAGGTCTGAGCCTGTTCAAGGTCATGTAACTACGCAGTTTTCTTTGTTTTATTTCTAACTGCGTAGCAGATGATGTCATCAAACAGGTTTGAACCTGTTCAAGGTCACGTAACTGCGCAGTAGATGTCTCATTCTATTTTAGAATTTTCTAACTGCGTAGTAGATGACGTCATCAGACAGGCTTGAACCTGTTCAAGGTCACGTAACTGCGCAGTAGATGTCTCATTCTATTTTAGAATTTTCTAACTGCGTAGTAGATGACGTCATCAGACAGGCTTGAACCTGTTCAAGGTCACGTAACTGCGCAGTAGATGTCTCATTCTATTTTAGAATTTTCTAACTGCGTAGTAGATGACGTCATCAGACAGGCTTGAACCTGTTCAAGGTCACGTAACTGCGCAGTAGATGTCTCATTCTATTTTAGAATTTTCTAACTGCGTAGTAGATGACGTCATCAGACAGGCTTGAACCTGTTCAAGGTCACGTAACTGCGCAGTAGATGTCTCATTCTATTCTAGAATTTTCTAACTGCGTAGTAGATGACGTCATCAGACAGGCTTGAACCTGTTCAAGGTCTTTTTTTTAAATGCCGAGTTTAAATTAATTTCTTCATCTAATAATATGATCTTTTTTTTTTTTTAATTAACAATTTATGAAAAATTTATAAAATTGAATAATCGAAATTAATTGTATGCTTTATAATATTTAAATAATGGGTGTCAATAAGTAGTTGATAATTTTTAAGTTAAATTTTATATTGACAGCCAGTCGACAGCGCTATGACGCCTTTTTTTTTTTACTTTAATCTAAAAAATTAACTGTAAGAGTTTGAACTCTTCTGATTCAATAAATTATTTTTAAATTAATTTTTATATTTTTAATAGTAATTAATCATTTATGGAAATTATTATTAATAAACTTTAATAAAATTAATTACTTAAAATAATAAATTTCGATAAATAAGAATAAGCAGATGATTCGACGCATGCGCAGTATAGGTGTCAATAATTAAATCAATTAGTTTTTTAACTTGCCAATAATTGGTGTTTCCGGATAATCTATTTAATTATTTAAAATTAATTAGTAAATATCACTTATTATCATTTAAAAAAAAGAAATTGATTGGTAAAAACATTACTTGAAACATTACCACAAACAAAATTCAACGATATTGATATTTGATTGCTTAAAAAAATCATAACTTTGTCTCTTATAGTGTCAATAATTGGGGCTTTTACCTTAATTTATTTAGAACAAAAAAAAAATTATTTATTAAACTGTAACAAATAATATTTGAGGTAAAAAATATTTTTTTCTCAAATAAATGACTAAAAATTTCGTTCCTAAATCAATTTAGTACTCCGTACTAAATCCTTCATCAGCGCAGAGAAGAAATATATCTATATAATCTCTTGAAGATTGATCGGCGATCGGATCAAGTAAATATTTACCTCGCTGTCTGCGGGTCTGGAGAACAATCTCGGAGCTCTGTTAGTTTGCGAGTCTACGTGTTGAAGCTATGCACTTTACACCCGACACTTAACACGCATTAGAGCTTGTCAATTTACAACAAATGTAAATGTGAATAGACATAACAGCTCAATAGCAAAATAAAATTTATTATATTATATTATATTATATTATATTACTTAGAATATTTCTTCTTTTTTTCTTCAGATCTCAGGCTCAAGTGTTGCAGCGCCAGGAATGGGGGAAAAAATTCCAGGCATGTGTTGTCGATATGTCAAGTGAGAAAGTGCAAGTGCATGTACTCCCATCAGCATCAGCATCAGCCAGTGCCACCCATTCGCTAACATCCCCGTTTTTTTATTTTTTAGCTTAATTTAGTGGACATTTAATGTATATATAAATGATGATCGAGGCGTATACGTGCGCACACACTCAATCAGGATTTGACTCTCTCGCGTGGTTCAGATGAGACCAAGATGAGATGAGAGCAACGACCTCATACTCTGCTAACAGCTACTACTGCTACTGGTGATGATGATGATGATGATGATGATGATGATGATGATGATGGTGATGCTTCTTCTGGTGCTTCTGATGTTACTCTAATACAACAACTGCAGTCGGCTTGTCAACTCTAAGTCCTAAGTCTTGTGTCTTAAAACCGGCGCTCAGATCTGACGACGTTTCGTCTCGGTTCTCCGTTTAAATCTCATTTTTATGCACAAAACACGTTACACATATTAACTACACATACTTCGTTTATCTTTTTTAATTCAATAATGTTTTATTACAGCATACACATGTTTATGTCATTTATACATCCATGTTTTCAATATTAACTCGAAGTTTATCCCAAACTCAACAAGTCTGCCAACAATGTTTTGTCTCAATCCGATTACTGGGAATTCCGTTTATAAGATTCTAAAAAAATTTACGAAAAATCTTATAAGTGTGTCATGTATAAATAATGATGCTTATCATTGTTGTCTTTTTTGCTTAAGCGAGGTTGACTTTTTTACAAGATGTTGTCGCTTTACTCGCTAATGCTCTAAAGGCATAATTGATCCATCAGAATTTTTTTTTGCTATTTTTTTCATTGAATATTATTTAAAATTTATTCTAATGCTTCTAATTTTATTTTTAAGAAGTAAATTTATTTACGCTTTGAATCAGAAATTTTATGATAATAATAAAATTAGCCGAGATTTTTTATTTTGTTTAATTTATTAAATTAGAACTAAAACAATTTTTCACAAATGAAATTTAAAAAAAATTTTTTTTTAATAATTTTTTCAATGAAAAAAATTCTACAAATTTTTTAATGTCGGCTAACTTTATTGTCATAATTTTATAGCTAATATTTTTAAAAAATTATTATGGGTAAGAAAATTTTAATTTTTAAACAAAAAAATTTTTTTTTATATTTACAAGTAATATATTATATATATTTTCTGTTTTAGATACATTTTTCAAAATTTTACAACCGGATCATGTAAATAAATTTAATGATTACCTAAAATTTATTGAAATTTCTCAGATGTAGAACTTGACTGGTTTTTTTTTTTTTTTTTTTTTACAATTTTATGATACTTAATTTAATGAAAATTAAATAAGCCGACATCTAAGTTTTTAGAAATTTTTTTTATTGAAAAAATGATTACAAAAAAATTGAAAAAATAATTTCATTTTTAAAAAACTTGAAAAACTGTAAGTGTAATTTTTTAGTTCTAATTTAATGAATGAAAAAAAAATCATAAAATTAAAAACGTCGGCTAACTTTGGTATTATCTAAATTTAGCCGACGTTTCTAATTTTTTGATTATTTTTTATTGATTTAATTAGAACTAAAAAATATTTTTAAAAAATTGCACTTATAGTTTTTCAAGTTTTTTACAAGTGAAATTTTTTTTATTGGTTTGTAATAATTTTTTCAATGAAAAAAAAATTATAAAAAGTTTTAGATATCGGCTAATTTAATTTTCATTACAATTTTGGGTGTACTCTAGATCAATTTTATAAATTTGAAATTTTTATTATTTTATTTTTGATTTAGATTATGAACAAAAATTTACAAATTATCTCCTATAAATATTGATCAAACTTTAAAATTACAAATTTTTCAAAAATATCAGAAAAAAAATTACACTGAAATTAGAAGACATTTAAGAATTTTTGAAATTTTTATAACCAATCAATTGTTATGAAAAAAAATTTTTTTTAATTCACACTTGTAATTTTTTTAAATTTCTACAAGTAAGATTTTTTTTGAAATTTTTTTCATTATAATTTAATTGTTGTAAAATTCTAAAAAATTGTTATGAAAATTAAGTTAGCCATCTAAAAATTAAAAAAATTTTTTTTATTGAAAAAATTGTTACAAAAAAAATTAAAAAAAAAATATTTTTTAGTTCTAATTTAATAAATGAAAAAAAATTAAAAACGTCGGCTAACTTTAGTATTATAAAATTGCTAGATGTCTGTTAAATTCAGTATCATAAAAAAAGATATTTATTTCTTCAATTTTCAAAATGGAAAAAAAAATAATATGGAGGAAAACAAAATAGAAAGTGAATTTTTCAAATTTTTATCGCCTAGAAAATGACCCCAAGTATGTAGAAATTATGAAAATTAAGTTAGCGGACATCTGAAAATTTCTGTAATTTATTTTATTGAAAAATTATTTTAAAAAAAATTAAAAGAAGAAATTTCACATGTAGAAAATTTAAAAAACTATATGTGCAATTTTTTAAAAATTATTTTTAGTTTAAATTTAATTACTAAAAAAAGTCAAAAATTGTTGAATGTCTACTAATTTAAGTGTCATGTATAAATTACAATTGATAAAAATCAACAGAAATTTTTCGGTAAGTTTCTTCAAAAATTTATCATTATTAATCAAACAATGATCAAAAATCGTTTTTTTTTTAGGTCATACCACAAGTAAATTACAATAAAAAAGATCCAAATAACCAGTAATCAGATGGTGCAGATGAAGCTGATGCATATATCCCTGGTGCTGTTGAAGCTGCTGGTTTTACTGATGAGAAAAGTCAGTTGTCTAAAAATAATCCTGGCCGATGTGTGTTTCGCGATGGGATCAGCGCCACGACGTCTCGCTACTTGCTTCCCTCATCAACGTTCCTCGGTTTGTCTTTTCATAGTCTCTTATATATAAATATATTTAGATGTATATATATAAATCCAAACGTCCAACATATATAACTGAATATGTTGTTGTTGATAGTATTTCAGAGAAGATGTAGATATAAAAAAGGCAGAGAAGAATAAGGTGTAGTTGGCAATAAGTCAATCGGTCTTTAACCAGGTGTGGTGGTTATCTTCGTCTGTCCCAACCCTGCCGATCATCAGCGATAGCCAGACAGAGCGGGATCACGTTAGTTGTGTCTCGTGACGCAAAGGCTCTTTCTTACTACCAGGCAGAAGGTATGTCACACGTATAGGAATCACGCGTCTCAGTTTTACGCAATAAACTTTTTATTGGACTTGTCTGGTCAGAATGATCGTTCACTAATTTATTTCCTAATGTGAAGCCCCGTCATCATCCCGTGGCCAGTACCAGTGTCGCCTACCAGTAGCCGTTTGATGTCGGCAGCTATCCAAATTAACAAACTATCATCATTACAACTAATTATGTCATTTGAAACAATTACCAGTGAGTTAAATATATTAATATGTACCATATAGACTTTTAGAATCTTATTTAATCATCTTGCTTTCATTTATTTCAGGTCTAAGTTCAAGTTACTATTAGCACAAATATTAAAATTTTCACTCGTAAGTGGCCAGCAATATCTTTTTTTTAATTGAAAAAAAGATATCAAGAACTAAATTTTTTGGAGCAAAAGGCTGAATTTTCTCAAAACAAAAAGATTTTCTTGACTTCTAAATAAATTTTCTTAAATCAAGATAAGTATTTTTTAAAGCAAGAGAATTAATCGGCTGCCCAATTTCAAAATACAGTAACTAACATTTAGTAATTTTTTTCAATTATTTTTATCAAAAAAAAGTTTGCCTGCCAAATTGATAAAAAATTTGATATATATGAATACAAAATACTTGAATATAAATATTAAAAAAAGAAAATACTTGAATATAAAAAATATATAAAAAATGCAGCAATATTAAAAAAAATTAGGTATACAAATTTTGCAGTTACTGTGTTTTAAAATTGGGCAGTCGTAATTTTGTTGGAATAAGTGAAATTTGTTGGGTCAAAAAAAAATTTTTTTTCGCTCAAAAAAATAATTAGGAAAAGTATTTTCTTGGCTCAAAGAAACTTTTTTTTCTATGAGTGTAAATTTTCTTGGCTCAAAAAATTATTAAGAAAGATGAAAATTTCTTGAATGAAGTCAAAGTTTCTCAAGCCAAGAAATTACTTCTTGCTCCAAAATAACTTTTGTCTTCCTTAAAATTCTCTCGGCGCAAGAAGTTTGTTTTTTTTTGTCAAAAAATTATTTTAATTTTTTTTTAAATAAAATAATTATTTTATTATTTCTTCTTTATCAAAACAAATATCGCGATCAATTTCAAATCATCTTTGATAAAAATCAGATAAATTTTTACCGATTTCAAGGTTTATAAATACCTATTTAATATATATTTATGATTTTATTCTTAAAAGAAAAACTAAACTAAAAGAAAAATATTTAAATAAATAAAAAGATGTTTAAAATAAATATTTCGAAAATTTTTTTTTCGCTCAAGAAAATAATTAGGAAGAAAAATAATTTTCTTGGCTCAAGTGAACCTTTTTTTCTGTGTATAAATTATTAGAAAGGATATTTGATTTGAATTATTCCAGAGTAACAAAACCAAAAAGAACGAAACTAATCAAACAAGTTAGGCTAGCAATATCAAGTGAGAACTAGAAATCGCGCCACCTACAACTCAATCGTAAACATTTCTATAAAAATAAATATTTATTTATTTATTTATTTATCGATTTTTTTATCAATTGTTACGTTCTGATTTAGGTTAGATTTAATTGTTAATTTTTTAAAACAAATCATTTTATATTTCAGATCGACTTAGAAAATTAATAACCTCAAAACTTTCAATTCAAAATTCAAAACCGCCATGTTTTATTGGATCTGTTGTAAAATTGGCCAGTTCGGCTGCCCAATTTAAAAACACAGTAACTAACATTTAAAAATTTTTTTCAATTTTTCTTATTAAAAAAAAGTCTGCCCGCCAAATTAATGAAAAATTTGATTTGTGGATCGAAAGTGCTTGAATATAAATATTTTTAAGAAAAAATACTTGAAATTGAGATCTAAAAGTTATAAAAAATGCAGCAATACTGAAAAAAATCAGGTATAAAAATTTTGCAGTAACTGTGTTTTAAAATTGGGCAGCCGAGTTACTTGACAGTAACTCGATATTATACTGCCCAATTTTTGACTAAAGTCTAATTGAACTGACTAGTTAATGTTACGGGCCAAAAACTCGAATTAATTTCTACTAGGGAAGACATACGGCATACGTGATATGAGAAGAAATGCTCTGTTATGTACTTTAGGGGATAGGACAGCGAGATTTCTTCTCTACTATACGATACGATACAGAGAGCCGTTGATTTAATTTGTATTCTTGTTACTCGTCTTTTGGAACGGCGAAACCGCGGTTACAGTTATACTGATAGAAGGATTTTGTACGGAATTTAGTAATGAAATTTTTAGTCATTTATTTGGAAAAAAATATTTTTTACCTATCAATATTATTTGTTACAGTTTGATAAATCGACGTTCTAATTAGCAAATTGTCTAACTACATTTTAAAGAATCTTCCATTTGGATGAAAAAAACAATTAGTTTAAAATTTATTATCACTTTAAAAAAACCATTTAATATCATTAATATCTAATAGAGGTATGGTATTTTGGTTTGAATCATTCAAATAATTTATAATTGGACTATTACTACACGGAAAAAAGTAAACTGTAATATTCACTCGGATTCCGGTTAGTTTTTATAGTTTCAAACAGTAAAGTGGACATCGGGACGGCAAAAATGTAAATATTACAGAACTTAATGTAGAAAGTATAAAAGCCACAATTTATAATTTAATATCTAAAATAAGTGATTAGTAGTTGTCACTATAGTAAATAACGACTCTTTCATCTTTAAAAATTACAGTTTCAAATAGTAAGAAATGCCATTTCAATATATATTATCCATATTATGAAGAGAAGGGGAACTCAGATGAAAGAGAAGGGGATCTCACTCTGGGAGAATTTAACATTTGAAACAGTAAAAATTATACTTTTAAAATATAAATTTTACCAGTCTAAGCAAGTCAATAATTACAGTTTGATTTTTAGTGTTGCGTTTAAAATTTACCACTTTACTTTGTAAATATTGACGTTGCTTGTATTAGAAATTTACTAACTTTATTTTATATTTTTTACATATCATAACATCATTTTTTAGGTACGAAATGATAAATATCAAAATCTGAATTCTTAATTATTATACTTTAACATTTTAGACATTCACATAGCGAATATTACTGTTTGAAATAGTATTTTCTTTCATGTAAAGAGTAAATTGTAACATTTAAATGGTAAATATTATAAAGTGAATAGTAAAATCACGATTTTACTGTTTAAAATGGTAATTTTTAGCAGTTGATCATTACTTATTAATTATAAATTGACTGTTATTTATTACAGTTTACTTTTTTCCGTGAATCATTCAAATAATTTATAATTGGACTATTACTACATCAAAATGTTAAAAAATCACCCTTAAAAAAAATAAGGAGTTAGACAAATTGCTAATTAGACCGTCGAAATGATTTTTTTATTCTAAATAAATTAGATTAATATAAATATAGTCTTATTATAGGGAAATGAATATTTGATTCCACACGGAAAGGAGAAAACTCGAAAAATTACAGTATATAATGCAACGTTGCGCTTCGTGATGAAAACTGGAAAAATTACAGTTTCAGATTGTTTTGTAAGAATTACATTGTAAAATGTAATATTTACATTGAAAGCTTTGAATATAAAATTTAAAAATTGAATTTAGAAAAATCTTATTTCAAACTGTAATTTTTCTTGTTTTGATTACGACGGGACCGATTTTACATTTTATACTGTAATTTTTCGAGTTTCCTTTTTTTCGTTCACCAAAAATAATAATTGGTAATAGGTACTAAATATTTCTTCGGTAAATATTGCAGGTACACAGAAAAAAAGGTTGTTGAGCCAAGAAAATATTTTTCCTAATTATTTTCTTGAGCGAAAAAAAATTTTTTTTTTACGAGTAATTTCACTTATTTCGACAAAATTAATTTTCTTGCTTTAAGAAATACGTATCTTGATCCAAGAAAATTTATTTATGTCAAGAAAATCTTGTTTTGAGAAAATTCAGCCTCTTGCTTCAAAAAAATTAGTTCTTGATAGAAGTAAATGTTTATTAATATTTTTATTGATTAACATGTCAAATGGGAAGATCAGATAATATTTCATCATTTTTTTTCATTCAATATGTATAATTGCACGCTAAATTAATATAAAATGGGTATCAAATATTCAAGAGAAAAATTTTCTCAAGGTGAGAAAATTTTTTTCTTAGCTAAAGTAAGTGGCGCTGCTTCCCTAAAGTATCTAAAAATCTTGATCAAATATAAAAATTTATTGTATCAAGTATTTATGATAATTTGAATTAAGAAAAAATTACTTCTACCAAGAATAGAATTTCAAGAAAAATTTTTACTTCACCCAACACAACTTTGGTCTTCCTTCAGGTACCCGAAAATTTTTTTGAGCCAAGAATTTTGTTCTCCAGTCAAAAAATTTTTCTTTCTGTGTACAAACAAAACACAAAATGCACAAAGAGTTAGAGAAAATACTAATATTGCATAAATTTCATATGGAAGTGCTTAAAACATAATATTTATAACACAGAATATTTTACTATTACAATGACAGATTCATGATCCAAGCTTTTATCTTATAGTTTAGCGTTTTTTTACTACAATTCAATATCTTAAGGTTATTCTTATTATTAGGTAAAAGGTTAAAATATTTTATAGCAACATAGTAAGCGTTCTTTACGCTAATCCTTTTCTTAATTTTAAGAAGAGATATCGATTTAAATCTAGCTCTAGTTTGTTTAGTATCCCATAGAAAGTTGCCGATGCTCAACAATTTCCGTTCATTGGCCAAGACACGGCTGATAATGCTCGGCCAAGCATTGGCGTTTTGTACTGGCCAAGTCTAGGTAAGCTATCGGCTACCGCATGATATTTATTATAACATAATGGTATGTGATTTGATTATCAGCCATTGCTTGGCCGATGCTCTGGCTAATTGTTTATTACACTTGAAAACAATTAATACGTGTTAGTCATTACTATGTTGTATTATTGTTTTAATTTAACGTTTGACCAAATTATAAACTAATATGTACTAAAAATTAGTAAATCAATTTTTAAAAAATATCTTACGAGATTTTTTTTAGGAGAAATCACCAATTTAAATTATTAACAATGCTTTTTTTTATAAATATTATATTGATCATTTTTTAGTTTTTAATAAACATTTTTATTATTCAACAAGCTCTATTAAGATTAAACGGACATTTGTTTTCACTGAAACAGATTTAATAAGTAATGAATATTTTTTTGGAGGACTTTTTCGATAAATTTTTACATTACCCAATCAGTTAAACCCTATTTTTTTTATAGTATTAAAAAAAAATATTTTAGCAAGAAACTAATGATTTCTAATAAATGATTTATTTACTTACAAATAGATTTATGAATAAAAATATACAAATATACATATTTATTTACTAATAAATCATTTATTTTTAATTAATTTTGAACTTCTTGCTTAAAAAATGAAGTTTTAAAAAACTAAGAAGTTATTTTTTTATTAAGAATATTGTATAGATCTTTACACTCTTGATAGTAACGCATTAGAGCTTTTACAATAAAAGTTTTCTTAATATCAACTTACTAGTATTAATAAAAAAAAAATACGAAATTTTTATAATTATTATTTCTTCTTATTTAAAAAAAAATAATTAAAAAATGTTTCCTAAAATAAGTAAAGAGAAACTTGTGAAAAAGATTAAGTATTAGGCATTAGGACTTTTACAATAAAAATTTTCTTAATATTAACTGACTAGTAAAATTTTTTTGAGCAATGAATTTTGTTCTCCAGTCAAGAAATTTTTCTTTCTGTGTACCTAAACAGAAAACAAGACTCTAAAACGTTTAATTTACTCTTATTATACGGTCAATTATTTTGTTATTTTATAGTACTTACCTTCCAGATCCAGGTTTCTCCACGTACATTATCATTATCTCCAGTCAATCTCCACTCGGCTCGCTTGCTCATTCTACTTATTTATTTTTCATCTCATAATTATCAATTACGCTAATTAGTCTTCATTATCTATTGGTTGTCATTTATGATGATGGTGATTTTATTGTTTTTTATTGAATTAACTCCTAACTCGTGAGCGATCCTCGAACGTCTAGCGCTCTATCGAGATGCTGCAAAATAAAAAAAAAAAAAAAAAAAAAAAAAAAAAAAGTGGTTATTATGTGAATTTATAAAAATATTGATAATTATAAGTTATTAAATAACTTTGTTATTATAGTTATAATTATAATTATAATAAAACATGATCACGTATGGCATTTTTCTTCACATCGGTAAATCTTGTTTCTCGCCTCGGTATACCCGCGTACGATGATCGATAAGACTTTGGCATAATTCCAAAGTGAATTCCGATCCTTCGGTTCTCGGTCCGGTGACTCGACCTCATCGTGATCTGCATACAAATATTTTCCACACCGCATCGATATCTATTTATTAATTACTAGTTTCATTAAGATATTTCTTATTTATTTATTTATTATGCAGATAATGCTTGCGTTAATTGACTTATCAATTGATTTTATAATTTCATAGGCGTGGAACTTGCGCAGGATTTGCCGATACAGCAAAATGTTGAAGAAGAGGAACGAAATTTCAAATGTAAGTTTTTATGTAATTTTTGTAATTTAATTAACAAGACTTACTTCAGTACAAAAAATATGAATGTAGTAATTTTTTATAATACTAAAGTTAGCCGACGCTTGTAATTTTTTTTTATTTATTAAATTAGAACAAAAAAATATAAAAAAAATCTTCACTTATAGTTTTTCAAGTTTTTAACAAATAAAAATTTTAAAAAAAAATTATTTTTAAAAATAATTTTTATAAAAATTAAATTATAATTTAAAAAATTCCACATGTAAAAATTAAAAAAAATTATAAATCCGAATTTTTTTTAATATTTTCTTTTTACAGTAATTGATTTATTATAAAAATTTCAAGAATTGTTATTATATGTCTGCTGACTCAGTATCATTTGAAAATAATTTTTTTTTAATTCAATAAAAAATTTTTATTAAAACTAGTAGAAATCAGGCAATTTTTTTTAATTTTTATAATGAATAAATTATAGAAAAAAAATAATTTTTTTTTAATTTGGACTTATAATTTTTTACTATTTTAACATGTGAAATTTTTTAATTAAAATATTTTTATAATTAATTTAATTGTTATAAAAATCAAAAAATTGACAGATGTCTGCTAATTTCACATTATAAAATTTTTAATGAAATTAATTAGCAGACATGATTTTTTTTTTTTTTTTTTTTTAATTTATTAAATAAATAAATAAGTGCTAATAATTTTATTTCACAAAAATTTTAACGATAGTTTTTAAAAATTTTCACAAGTTAAATTTTTTATTAGTTTTTTTTTCTTCTTTGTTTTTGAAAAATAATTTTAGTTTATAAAATGTCAGTAAATTTTTTATTATTATAAAAAAACTAAATGAAAATTAATTTAGCAGATATTTGATAATATTAATAATTTTTGTATCAAATAAAGTATTGCGAAAAAATTGCGATGCAGAAATTTCAAAAAATTAAAAATACAATTTTTTGGAACAAATTTGTTTGTTTAGCAAGATTTAAAAATGGTCAAGTGACTTAACTTTAATTTTATAAAAACTAAATAAATAATTGATATAATTACTGATGACATTAAAGATACCAGTCACTTAAAAATTTTTTAATTTTAGTTAAAAAAATTTCTTTCAAAAATATAATTTAAAAAAAAATTGCATTTTTTATTTTTAAAAATTTCTACAAGTCAAATTTTTTTGCTATAATTTATTATAATACTAAAATTAGCCGACGTTTTTAATTTTTGCTTCCATTTATTAAAATAGAACTAAAAAATATATTTTTTTGAATTGCACTTACAGTTTTTCAAATTTTTTACAAAACAATTTTTTTTTATTTTTTTGTAATAATTTTTTCAATAAAAAAAATAAAAAAAATTTTTAATGAAGTTAGCCGAAATTTTCAGTTTTTTGAATTTTTTTCAATATTAAAATTAGAACAAAAAAATATTTTTTAAAAATTGCACTTATAGATTTTCAAGTTTTTTACAAATGACATTTTTTAAAAATTTTTTTACAGTAATTTTTTCAATAAAAAAAAATTCTTAAAATGGTCAGATGTCGGCTAACTTTATTGTCATAAATTAAATTAGCCAACATCTGAAAGATTTAATAATTATTTTTATTGAAAAAATTGTCACAATAAAATTTAAAGAAAAAATTTAACATGTAGAAAATTTGAAAAATTATACGTGTAATTTTTTTAAAGTATTTTTTTCCTTGCAATTTAATTGTTAACGTCGGCTAACTTTAGTATCATGGCTAATTTAATATACATTAATTTATTTGTTACAAAATTCTCAAAATTCTTAAATATATGCTAACATGATTTTCCCAAATTACTGAAATAACCTCGTTAACATTACCTAAAATCAAAATAAAACAACTTAAACCTGAAAATACCTAAAAAAAAAATCCACCAACTGAAGCAAGTCTTGTTAATAGCATACTCGACAAAACATACCTCTTAATTAATCCCCAACCTATTTTAAAGACTTCGGAACTTTAATAAGCGGTAAAACATCACGGCAGATAGTAGACAGCGTAAATGAATCAACAAATTATTTAGCTGCGTCAGAGTACGTAGCAACGGGACGTTTTACATTTAACCGCAAGAATCTCTATTACTCATTTTACTTGAGTGCATCAACACCGCGCCCAAGAAGTATTCAGTTCATCGACAACACGGGTAGTATCTTGGAAGAGCAGACAATAGACCCAGTGGGCGGAGTGTACCAAAATGCGACTGGTAAATTGTGTGGAGTGTGGCGGCGAGTACCGCGTGACTACCGCAAACTCATGCGAGAAGAGCAGCTGTACGTGTCACTCATCTGGGAGACGCCGACAACTGCAACAACGTCAAAAGCGCTCCTCGTGGGTCAACTGACGCGCTACAAAGCTCTGTCCACCGAGCAGTTTTCTTCCTTGCTTGAGCCAGCAATGGGAGTAGACAGGACCCTGATGTACGGAGCTGCAGGTACAGCCATAATATCAGTGTCTTCAGCATCAGCGCCGTCCATCCACGTGTCCCTGGTCTTCAACGGACTGTTCCTGCCCAACGACATCCTGGACGTCCCTTTGCTAGTCACCATAGAGCACCAAGAGAAGGACTACGTCCTCCTCCAAGAAGCTATCATCGTCGACAAGCCTTCTTCTGATGTCAACTTCGGAGAAGTCAGAAGCGCTCTTTCTGCCACTGACTTGCGCTTGCTGTCCCGAGGGAAATTATCCATCACAGTTGCTTCTAAAAAGGACCCACAGGCGGTTAAATTGACTGGAACAATTGGGAGCAGAGCTACTTGCGACATGTACCAAGCACTCTTGCCATCAGAGCCTTCAAGACACGCATCAGGTCTTGCCTGGGCTTACCTAGATCGCTATGGAGTCCTGAAGTATGGTGTGAAGCTTGCTGGTCTTGATGAAGAAAGCCCTCTGGTGACTTTGGTCGACGACGGAGGCAAGCGTAAGACAGAATTGGAAGACCTGACACCCACTTTAGTCGGTGGCTCCACTGCTAATGGATCCTTGGACCGTCCAGGACCCAGATTGTTGGAGACTTTGTTCAAAGGAGAGCTTTCGGTGGTCGCTGCTTCGCCAGCTGGCGCTGTTCTCAAAGGAAGATTATCTCAGAGACATATTGCAGATGCTAAGGACACTTGCTCGCCTGCGTTGTTGACTTCTTCGGTGAGCGGCTCTGTCGTAGGATTGATCTGGCTTGCTATAGACACGGATTGTTCGCTTCACTATGAGCTAGAGCTTACAGGATTGCCTGAAGATGATGAAAAGGACATTGGGGAGGATGAAGAAGATGTTAAGAATCGTAGGTTGTACTTGGAAACTGTTCCTTTGCTGGTTGAAGGAGCACCGGTGTCCAGGAGACTGCTTGAAGAGTTTGATGGAAATATCTTGGAAGGTTCCGTCACTGGGTTGTCGCTGATTGAGCTGTTTAGGATTGATTCAGGAATTGGATTTCTTGAAGTGGTTGAAGTTGATGGTAATACCAGCACCAAGTTGGTGAGGACACAGTTTAAGGCTCGCGCGCCTTTGAGTTGTCTTCCGCATTATGCGGATAATGATGTTGCTTCGGTGTTGGTTTATAATCCTCACTCGCCGAGCTCGGAGCTGGAGAGCACTTCTTGCTTTCATGAAACTAAGTTCTATGAGGAAGGGACTCAGTGGACTGCGCACTCTGACCCGTGTTCTATGTGCCATTGTCATAGAGGAACTGCAACATGTGATCCTGTTCCCTGTCCGCCTCTCAGTTGTCCGGTTAGTTTGAGGATCAAGCCGCCGGCTGGGCACTGCTGCTCTATATGTCAATGTAAGTTTTTTTTTTTTAATTTATATTGATAGTAAATTAACTTAAGGTAGTCATGGTACAATGTTATCAAAAAATTAGAGATTAGAAGAATATTCAGGATTGGATTAATCGGAATTAATGCTAACTTGCTAATTGGTGACAAACTTCTCCAAGCTTTGGAAGAAGTATTGAGCTTCGCGAAACAAAGTCGGCTTTAATAATACATTTTATTACAACTTTTGATAATTTTTTATTCTTTGGAAAAAAATTATTTTAGTTTTAACAGGTTATGGGCCTAGTCTGTATATTTAGAGATGGCTTATTAGAAGAAGCTTATACATTAATTACATTTTGAATAGTTTTCTTACTAAATATTATTAAATTAATGCACTAAACATCCAAAAATCATCAATTTTGTAACGCTCAAATTCTAAGTTAAAAACCTTCGAAATGATCTCTTGTTTTCCATTCTTAATTTTAATATTATCGGTGAAAATTTTGTTGAAGAAGATAAATTAGGTCTTATATCAAGAGTTTTATAAACATTAAGGTAGTTGTCATGGTACAATATTGTCAAAAAATTAGAGATTATACGCGCCGCAAAAGTATATGAGCTTTGTAGCTAAGTAATCCATAATTTTTACGCAAGACTGTACCCGTGGAGACGCAACCCATACAATTTTTTCTGTCCGACTCCGTAGATATATACTTTTTCATAAATTGTTGAACTTTAATCCGTTATTTATAAATAATTAGACGGTCAGAAATTTTTTTTTTATTTTTTTTTTAACTCACAACAAATACATTAAAAGACTGTCAGTTTTTTAAAGTTTCTGACAGTTAGTTTTTTTTTATAACTAAGAAACTGGTACAGAACTGCAGAGAGCGTATGCAATCAATGTTAAATATCCAATTTTTAATTGAATTCATCTCGGGTTATAGGTGATCAATCGACTTCAAATTTTTAGGGTAATTGTATCTTTATATATATATATATAATATACAAAAATTTAGAATTTCCTGACAGTTTATTTGCCTTAACCACGACAACTACCTTAA